GCAAGGGTGGATTTGGAGGGGAGAGGGGAGGGAGGTTGATTGGGGGGGGGGGGATAGGGGGGGGGGAGGGGAGGGGGAGAGGGGGAGGAAAGGTTGGTGGGTGGGTTTGGGAGGGGGATGAGGAGAGGAGAGGGAGGAATGGGTGGTTAGTTGGTGTGGAGGGGAGGAGGGAGGAAAGGGAGGAGGGAAGGTATGGGTGGGTGGGTTGCATGGGGAGGGTGGAGAGGGTAGGTGGTTAGGTGGGGGGAAGAGGGGGAGGAAGGAGGGTTGGAGGGTTTTAGGAAGGAGAGAGGAGGAATGAATGAATAAGGTATAGGAAGGAGGGAGGTGGAAGATCTTATTGGAGGGAAGTAGGGGGGTTGGAGGGAGGGAAGCGGTGGAGAGGGAGGGGGGAATAAGATGATGGGGGTTGTAGTGTGAGGAAGGAGGGAATGGAGGAGGGAGGGGAGGACTGGCTGTGGGTTCCTGGTGGCAGGAGGGAAAGAAAGTGTTGAGAACGAAGTGTTGGAAGCAGGAAAGGAGCAGCAAGGGAAGGTATTAAGGAAGAGAAGGAGGGAAGTGGAGGAAAGGATGAAAGAGGCGGCGGTAGTGCCGGGGGGGGGGGGGCAAATAGGGAAGGGAGAGAAGTGAAGGTGGAGGGTTGGGGGAGCTCGTTAATGAAGTCAATCAAGTCAATCCATGGGAAAACGTCGGAAGATTGACGAAGAGAGAAAAAAGGTCGAAAAAGGAAGGGAAATTAGAACAGCAGCAAATAATAAAACATCAAGGCAAGAGACAGACAGACAGAGAAAGACAGACAGACAGACAGAGAAGAGAGAAAAGACAGACAGACAGAGAAAGAGAGAGAGAGAGAGACGGGACAGACAGAGACAGAGAGAGAGAGAAAACAGACAGACAAAAGAAGAAACGACGAAGAACACGGGTAAAAAAACCTAGATGAAAGAAAGATGGAAAGAGAAGAGGAGAGACAGGAGGAACCAACAGGTACAGGAAAGGGAAGCGACAAGAATACGTGACGGCGAAGTGCGTGAATTTTTATGACTTCCAGAAACTTGTGACAAGGATGATCTGCCTCTGGGGTTATGGCGGGGTTTGACCTTTCGATGGGTCTTTTTCGGTTGGGTTTGTGTCTGTCTGTCTGTTTCTCTCTCGGTCTCTGTCTGTTTGTTTCTGTTTTTGTCTGTGTCTCTCTCTGTCTTTGTCTGTATCTTTTTTTCTTTCTTTTCTCTCTCTCTCTCTCTCTCTCTCTCTCTCTCTCTCTCTCTCTCTCTCTCTCTTCTCTCTCTCTCTCTCTCTCTCTCTCTCTCTCTCTCTCTCTCTCTCTCTTTTCTCTCTCTCTCTCTCTCTCTCTCTCCCTCCCTCTCTCTCTCTCTCTCTTCTCTCCTCTCCCTCCCTCTCCCTTCTTCTCCCCTTCCCCCCTCCCACCCTCTCTTTCGTTCTTTCTGTTTTGTTTGAGAGAGAGAGAGAGAGAGAGAGAGAGAGGAGAGAGAGAGAGAGAGAGAGAGAGTATGACACGCAGGTTAGCTTCAGCGAGGAGTAAGACGTGCAGGGACTCATTGAACAGCTTCTCAGTGTGTGAACAAGAGAGAAGTTCAGAGACTTATAGGTTTTGTTCTTTTGTTCTTCTGACATGTTCTTCGTGTTCGTTTGATTTGCTTCTTGTGTCCTCCGTTCTTTCCTTCCTATTTTATTTTACTTTTTTTTTTTACTTTATTATTATTATTATTTTTTTTTTTTATTTTTTATTTTTTTGCTCCCCGTAATTAATTTCTTAAGCATGTTCTCTTTTTTTCTTGTAATGTGGTTATCCTTTGTTTGTCTATTGTTTTGATTATCGTTTTATTCATCTTTCCTACGCCTCGTATTTTTCATTTCCTTTCGTATGCTTTATTCCCCTTTCCTTTTTTTTTTTTTTGCTTCTATTAATTTATATAAATTTATTCATTCAAACATTTATCTATTCACCTTTATTTTCTATTTATTTATCTTCCTTATAGTTTATATTCTTCCTTTTCCAACCCCGTAATATTTCACACGGACCAACAATTTAAATCAAATTAAATTAAATCAACAATTAAAAACCACGAATTCTAGTTTATTTGTAATTTATTTATCATTTACTTATTCGAGAGAAAATTAAAATGCGGTAGTCCTCTCTCTGTGGGTGGCGGCGGCGCGTGGAAAGCGAGGTCAGGCGAGGTCAAGTAGATACATGGATGGTGTTCCTTATCTCCCTGGGCGGTGGGGGTCATTTTTGATGGGAACTTGAGGGGGAATTTGATTTTTTTGTTGTTGCTGTTGTTTTGTGTGTTTTTGGGGGGGGTTCCCTCTTTTTTGGCTCTCCTCTTCCTTTCTTCTCCTTCCCTCCCTCTCTCTTTCCTCCTCCTTCATCCTTCCCCTCCCACTTCTCCTCCGTCCCTCCTCCCGCCTCCCCCCTCCTTCTCCTCCTCCTCCGTCCTCCTCCCCTCCTCCACCCTCCTCCCCTCTTCCCCCTCCCTCTCCTCCCTCCTCTCCTCCTCCTCCCCCCCTCCTCCTTCCTCCTCCCTTCTCCTCCTCCTACCTCCACCTCCCCCCCCTCCTCCCCTCCCGGCTCTCCATCGCTCTGCATATTTTCTTCTCTCGACAGGCAGACAGAGGTTGGACGGTAATTAGCGCCGATTTAAATAAAATGAAAAAAAGACGGCGAAAGAAGCGCAGACTGGATTATTTCATTATATAAAGCCTCGTTTTTGGATTTATTCTTTTTTTAATTTTTTTCTTTGCTTGCAAACTATGAAATCTTGTTTCTTTTTCTGTTTCTGCTTTCTATATATTTTATTTCGTCTTTTTTTTTACCTGTGAAAC